CATTCTGTACCTTTCTACCATGCTAGAGTTCTAGCTTAATTTTTCCATCCTGCTAATCAGGTTTGACCTTTGAACCTGCCCTTAAAACCCCACACATCATTAAATATACTCCCAGAAAAACGACCCGTCTCATTGAGAAAGTTCCTGCAGTAGTACCCCCTACTTTAAATACAGTGTTGGTTGTTATAAAATTTGTAGCTGGAGGAAATATAAAAAGAAGGTAGAAAGCAGAACTTTCATTGCCATAGTCATAAGACAGTTGTATAAAACGGTTATTGAAAGGAAATGGGTTATATTTAAGGGTCTTTTTTATTATTCATGCCAGGAAGCACATTGCGATTGTCAAATAGAACAAAAGCAACGACCTCGCCTGTGAAAAATGTCCTCCCCCCTGAAGTCTCAAAGGAAAATGCTCTCCGTCAAGCTAGAATGACACTGGAACACACAGAAACACCAAAAGTAACGAACGTATACACGTTCACACATGCATGTGGTCCACTGGAAGAAGTTGCATACACTAAACCCCTGAGTGGGTCATTAGGCATTTCCTGTCTGGCGATGGATTTGTTTATGGACCTCGTGGCTAGTTTTCCTTTAGTCGAAGTAGAAATCATTAAGTCCAAAGTCTTCTTGCCTAACGTTGCCTGATTAATATTAGATGTTTGAGTGCCCCGGGGCATTATAAGCTCACGCACTTGTTATCCTGTCAGTCATGTTGCTAACTACAGCATTTGATTTTGATCTTTGTGTGAGTTTGCTGCACATAACTGATTTTACTTTGAGATAGAACTATCTTTTAAAATGTGGATACTTATTTGCCATCTTTACAGCGACGGAATCGTTTTTCATAAGGATTGAAATAAACTTTAACTGTTTTTGAGGCAGACAGGTCTTACAGCAAACAGCTTCAATAGATTTTAATGGAAATAAGTAGAAGAACATGTTTATAATTGTGTGGTCTAGAGTTAATCAAAAATTATACTTTGGCTGATGTTGAGCTTTTCCAAAAGCCTAATAGTAATAACCAAAAAAAAAATAGCTGTTGATTATTTTAATATCCTTATTGTGTAACTTTGTGCCCTCCGCATCAAAGGTCGCAAAAAAACAACCCTCAGTATAATAATGCCATGACTGCATTAGGAGTGTTGCCAAATGAGAAATGTAGGATTATCGTACTAGAGACATCAAATGATCATACTCTTGTCATAACCAAAATAGCAATTTTATATATGTGCTACAGTCACTTCGGTGTTGCATAGCGTCTAACAAGCGCTAACAGCTTTGTGGCATCAGCAACAAATGGATACATCAGCAGACCCATAGTCGCATAATGTGTAATGTTTGCTTAATAAATTATCTATAAACAAGTAATCTTTGTAACATGAAAACTTTCATAGCCAAAAATGGAGATTTGAATAAAAAAACAATCTGTAGAAATATAAATATGTAAAGACTCCCCTTCCTTTGTCTTTCCTTTGTTTTCCTTGTTTTGTTAACATTTAAATTTTTTTTCCTTTCTCTGTGTGTTTTTTTTATTTTATTTGTTTTTGTTTTGTTTTTTATATTGTTACTTCGGCTGCAGGATCTGTGCTGCAGCACTGGCAGACAGCGTTGCTCTCCGAACCAGCAACAAGTCTTAACCATACGATTAGACTTTTCCTCTCTTTCCGATAGCTCTGTGGTTATTGCTGCATACTCTGACTCTGCCCTGCCTTCTTCTTAACCTTTTCTCCGTCTTTCCCTTCCGTTTATTCACTTATTTTCATTTCTTTTTCCAGCCCGGCTCTGCAATAGGTTCTGTTACAAACCGATCCGTACCGGTAGCACAATCCATACAATCAGCTCATTTGCGCACAGATATTCCTCCAGGGCGCCATACATAATGTAATTATGGTACTAAAAGTACTTATTTCTATCCTTAAATCACAAAAGAATGCCAATACACAAGTTTAAGAAAAAATGTATTACTTTTCTGTTGATGCTTTTTATATTATGTCCGGTTAACAGCCTCTCTGATGTCATCATCAGATTAGGGGACATTTTAGTTGTTTCTTTATTTAGGTTAGGCACTATATACTATAATGTTAACACAAAAGGGGAAAAAAAAAACTCAAAAAGACTAGATTTATGTTTGAATACAAAGCAGAAAAAGTTCCTCCAACTCCTGAAGGTCCTGGATGGCATTTCCGGCACAGATTGGGCACAGACGAGTGATAAAACAGAAAAGATTTTAATGCATTTCTTTTCTAAGTAAATACATTATTAACATTTGACACATTATAGTTTAATACACTTACTATTATTAGTAAGGGGAAAAACATAATTAGGTTCTTTTTTCAAAGGCAATTTGAGGGAAACCCGGAACTATATCTGTTAGTACATGTGCAAATGAGCTGATGGTACAGATCATGCTACTGATATGGATCGGGTGGTGGCAGGCTCGGCTTCTTCCTCTTTTTTCTCTTTTCCTCACTAATGGACAGCGCAGCAGAATACTAAACCAATCATGGCTGGTGTTCTGAGGCAAACTCATACTCTTCACTTGCCGGTTACATTTGACAACTGTGTGGCATCTGTTTCCATATCCAGACACAGATACCTTCAGCGTTCACAGAAAAACTACGACAGAAAGTTGCGACATTCTGATGAACAGTGATTAAAACCACATATTCACAGAATGGTCAAATTATTGTACGTTTTTTTGAATTGTTGATCATACATCATACAATAATTATCGCACACTTGGCCACATTGACTCTGGTTTAAAAGTCTTGCAATTGTTGCTAAATAACCCAATATTTGTTTTCTGGTCATGAAGCAGTTTTACAGAGGGCATTTAATTTGTCCATGTGGGCAAAGATTGATTTCATTTGAGGTTCAAAATGTTGCTCGTTAAGATAGTACGTCTTTACAACTTAATGTAGGCTTGCCTTGGAGTCCCTTCTCTGAGGGACACACCAAGACAAACTAAAAAGCTTGAGGCATTCTGGACAAATGACCGAGAACTTCAATATTCTTCTTTTGATGTTGAGGGGGGTTGGCCCTGTCACTATCTGCTCTGTACTGGTGATGTAGCATGATCCATACCATGAGCTCATTTGCACAAGCATAACGTACTTATTTCTACATTTATATATTTTTATTCCATATTTATATTTCTAGATATTTCTATCACTTATTTTAAAATGGTATGAAACTGCATTGTGTAAAAGACTATTAACACCTTTGCTAAAAGAATAAATGCATTTAAATCCTTTTAGTCATACAGTATATTTGTCAGGATGTGTCTTGTATGCAATCCCTAGTTTAGGTGCAAATAATGTGCCTTTGGATTTGTATATAATTGCATATTATATTTGTATATTATTCCTTTTTATTAATTGAACCTGTGTAGTATATAGCGCATTATCTAAAGAACAACAAAACTACAATACAGATAAAAACAGTGATATCATATTTTGCCGATATTTTTGAGCATGTCCCATGATACAACAGAAAGAATGTAAACACAACTATTTTTCCAGCAGGTCTTTGCAAGAATTATTTTATTCAGTATGATTAAGATGACTATTTAAGTAGAGAAACAGATTTTTTTTGGTTCCCTTATTATATTATCTAATGGAGACCTGGAGAAATTTCTGATTGCACAAGTGGAAATGAGCTAAAAGTAGGGATCGTGCTTCTGGTAGTCAAATCAGTTAAAGACAGGCCCTACTCCCAGTCCCCTATGGCTGACACAGCTCTTCATTCTTTTTACCTATGACTGATCTAGTCCACCCTACGGAGGAGACATACTTAAAACTTCTTAAAATATTCCAGACCAATCCTGTTTTCATATTTTCTAAAACGCTTCATGGCAGCCCACTTATATATACATCTGAGTATATAATTATAAATCACAGAATGGGTAGATTTAAGAATAACTAATATTGTCATGATTTTCCCCTTTGTGGAATTCTTGTTTTAGTTTCTTTTTAAGTTTTCAGTTCCCTTTGATTTTTGCCATTCTTTGTTTTGTTGGTCATTTGTTTCTTTTCCATTTTATGTTATATTTAAGCAGTGTTGTATTTTTTGAGTTACTCTCTGTTGCCCCCTTGTGCCAGTCTCCTTTCCCCATAGCTCCCTTCTAATTACTTCTATCCACACCTGCTCCCTATCAGCTAATTAGCCCATTCTTTGTTCCGTCTCCCATATATATATATACCTCCTGTGCAGTTCCTCAGTGCTGGATTGTTTTTATTACTTTACTCCTTATTTTAGTTTTCTGAGTGTCCCCTAGTTTTCGATTTCTCTGTTCCCTGCCTGTTATTTCTGGATAACTTGCTTTTGTTTTATCAAAATTTTCATTAAATCTGTAAGAAATCATCTCCGGCTCCTCTACTCTGCATCTGGGTCCACAAGAACATCCACCAACCCTGAGAAATATAAATTGTTATTTGTAAATTGTTCTTATTTTGGAAAATCAGTGAAGTTGTTGCTGTTTATTTTTTCAAGCCTTAAAAAAGAACATTAGAAAACTACAATTAACCAACTCAAAGCGTTTATAATATGAATATAAATGCTTTCAGTGTTATATGATTTGCACAGCAGATGGAAAAACATAAAACTGAACACTGAAAACTAAATGTAAGAGTTTAGATGTTTTAGTCATACTTAGGAGATGCTGCAGTCAAAGCAGTCCTTTTTTAATAAGGGTACCCTGAAGTCATGTGTACAAAAAGAAAGTTTCCACTGGTTTAATTATTTAATGATTACAAGCTATCAAAAAATGCCTTTGTCCCTTATTAGGATCAATCAGCTAGTATGAATAAGGTTTAGATAAGACCTTTGCTTTTTTAAGCCATACCACTAATAACTGATTTGAAAAATAAAAGAGCAAAACAAAGCCAGAAAAAAACAAAAAAAAAAAAAAACTCTCCAGGGGTGCATGACTGCAAGTCAATAAAAATTCCTTTAAAAAAATCATATAAACAAGTGTGTGGGTCTGTCAGCGTGTGTACCTTCTATAGCAAAAGGCTTCCCCACTGTGAGCAGCTTGCAGTCCGCATCGATGGAGACCTCAAAGTCAAGCAGGGCTTTATCCATGATGAATGCATCCAGGGCTGGAGGATCTGTCCTTTACCACCAACGCACACACACACACAAGCATAACAAGAAGAAGAAGGAGAGCAGGGGGAGACAGAGACAGCGAGGGATTAATTGAAGACCACTAATCTGTGAGAAAACTAGATAGGAAAGTATGCTAGATGAAGTTTTCTACACCTCTGATTCCCTGAATTTGAGGCTGTCATGTTTGCTCGTCATTTATAGGGAGGATTAGATTAACCATGCTCCGATGCACTTTGTAAACACATACATCATTACCTAAACCAACAGACTCTGCAACCCACTGATAAGGGATTACACACTCTGCAGAAGACTCTCCTGCTCCAGTGATATCGATCCAATTGACCCTAATTGACCCCTAATTACAAACCGTCACTGCGCTGCTGACCACTGCTTGCTGTGGTTAAATCATTGGAGGCAAAATACTCAGTCTGAAAAACATGGTGGCTTATGTAAGAAAGACATCACTTATTCACTAAAAGTCCCATCACACACAAACTCTGCAAGATGGATGAATATAAATAAGCACATCTACGTGGACACATACAGATAGTGTGTATTAAGGAATAAAAAATAGATCGGCCTGATCAAATTTCCAGGAACTTGTTGTTATTCAGGGCATAAGCCTCAAAACAAAAGGTTGACTTTACAAAGTCTTTGCCTTCCTGGCAAAGATGGAAAGTCTGTTTTTCCCTGTCTAGACCTGTCAAATACAAGGCACAAGGAGCAGAGAGGATAGAGACAACTCGTGGGACTAAAGAGGGTCGGAATTTACCCAATGCATGGCCTTGGAATAAGAATGAAGTGTGCCCGTGTTTGAGCGCGTGCATGTATCCTAATGCATAAAACTCAGCAGCCAGAAAAGCATGTTTTAAGCCTGTGCATAGGTGGAGAATATGCAAGTTATTTTCTGAGCCTTTACATATGTGTAAAACTGCATAAGTAGCCAAGGAAGGATTGGGATTTTATTTTCCCTCTAAGATTTGAGAGCAGTATTGGGGTCAGTAGTTCTGCCAACACAGTATTTTCACTCCGACTTGGGCTCTCTGCACTGCTGTGTCTAACAATTCGGCTTTGCCTTGCACGGAAACAAACAGCGCCTTCATCATCCTCTTTCTCTGTAGAGGCACTTTGTATCTTCCCACTGGTATCACAAAGTCAGCACATGCTCTATCTCAGTATCTTTGCTTGTGCTTTATGGAGCAGGCAGTGCCTCTGACAAGTGTATGTACAGTTATAGCATCGTCTGTCTTCAGTTCTGCATGTAGCTGGTCTGAACTTGCTTTTAAATTCTTGCATTCTGTGTTTATTGCACTAGTTTTCTGTGATGCTTTTGAAGGCAGCTCTGACAGATGTTACGAAATAAGCTCTGAAACTCAGAGAGTGTTTGCTACCTAACTTACTCTAAAGTTTATTTGAAAATTTAAGATGATGAAGGAAGAACTTATGCACTGATCTACGGGTTCAATAAAGTTAAAAGATTTCACAATGATCACTTTTATCCTTCTTTACTGTCAAACATGCAGTTGGAGAAACCAACTTTTAGGCAAAAAAACTTGAAAACCAGCAAATTAACTACCCTACTAGGATACAGAAATAACCAATGCACAAGTCATGGTAAAGCTCAGGTACAGTGAGCTCAAAATAACTTGGATGTAAAAAAATCAACTTCACAACCAGAAAGGGATCAAAGATGTACTGGAAATATATGTTATGTATAACTAGCTGTTTATTAATGTTCAAATTAAACTAGTCATCAGCTCATGCCAACGTTAAGATACATTTCAACATTGTTAACATATACTTCATATAACAATTTATTTAAGTTATATCTATATTTAAAAATAGAGGAAAGAGAGATTCTTTTAAAGTAGTTATGTTAATTTTTTTTTTTCATTTAAGCAGTTTTAGTGCTTAACCACAGGCAAGAAACCTGCGGCTTTATGTGGCTCTATGGACCTTCCAGAGTAGCTTTTATTAACTTTGGTTGAAAAATAATAAAAACCAGCTAATGTAAGTATGATAACAAATACGGTTTCTGCCAGTGCTGTACTAATATGTAATAATTGTACAGAATTTTCCCAACAATGGTAATAAAAAACAATATTGTTTTCCTGCCATTAAATACAGAACTTTGTTAAAAAATAAAAATAAAAGCAATTAACCTTGCAGACATGGTGGGAAAGTGTCAGTGCCTCTTTGCAAAGGGTTTGCAAACATAAACATCTAGAGACATCTCATGATTTAGCCATGAATATCAGCAAATTGTCAAAAACTATTAGAAAGAAATCACTGTCACTCTTGTCAGACATGAAGATGCTTTCATAATGTTAAAAACATTTCAAGGTGAGGCACGTCTTGTTCTAAAAGACCTGATAGTGTTTTTAAAACAAGCAATACACAGTTTTTATAAATGCAACTGGAAAACATATGCAAAACATTGACCAGTACTTTAAGCTGATATTGGTGAAATTAAAATAAACATGATGAAGATAATCAGCTATTTCTAAACTGCTTCTTTATCAATGTTTCTAAGTGATTTAATTTTTCAGGCCTAATATAAGCTAAATTAGATTGAACTCATCTTGCTCAGGATGCTAACATCCTAAGCAACATGGTTCTCCTCTCTTTTGGCCCACTTTCAACTGTACTGTAAGCATCAATTTGTGTTTGTGCCAGAAATAGAAACTGACGCGGTAAGTGTTAAGAACTTAAGCTAAAAGAAAACAAACATATTTGTTTGGTGTAGTGTCTACCAACTAGTGAATTGTTAGCTCATGTGTGTTTGTTATTTAAGAAACCACATGAACATATTTTCAGCTTGACATTGTGATTCTTTTTGCCAAAAGTAGCCATCACTATACACACACAGGCACACACACACACACACA